TACGGATAATAGCGCGGTGGCGGGCGGATGGTACAATTGTCGTTGGAGGGAACCCCAGGGCTCCAATTCGCTCACTTGGAAACTCATCGGTGACACCCTTCGAGGGCAACAGAGAAACGTTTCGCATGCCGTCGTTGTGCAGGTTCCTTCTCACATCGATGCTGAAGCTCTCGAGCCCTGTGGATGTCCAGATTTCCTTGTGTATGGGAACACCGCAGCAGATCACTTTGCTGGGGTGGCAGCTGGCACGAATCGCATCGACGAGCACGTGCGCACAAGAGTGCAAAAAAGTCGAGATGGAGGCTTCGTTGGTTCGCAGGCGGCTCCTTCGTTCGACTCTGGAGGCCATGGCGGCTCGACCTTCCCAGACTTCTGCTCCTTCTGTTCGCCCTCCCCCTCCCCCTGCTCCTGCCACCGTCGCCCTCTTCGGGTCTTCCCATCGTCTCAGTGCTTGTGGGAAGAAGTGTGAAAGGTGCAGAGGGAACGCCTCTCTGGACACTAGGACGGAATGGTTGCAGTCAGAGTGTTGTGAGACTGTGCACGTCAGCTCGCATGTGTCACGTCTGCCGAGGGGGTTTAAGGTTCATCTTGGGGGCGGTTGGATCCACCCCTCGCATTCGCCTCTTTACTCTATCCTGCTCCATACGTGGATTTGTTCGGATTGTGGTTTCTATGGGACCGAACAGCTCAGAAGGAACTTGAGCTCAGAGTGCCCCAAGAGCCTCACAGCCACAACTCGGAGATATCTGGATAATTCTGTCACAGGCAAGCCGTTTAGATCATAAGCGGTTGGGCGGGGCCATCTGTGCTTCTCCCCATCTTGATTCCTTCGGGAAGGAGCCAATCCAATCCAATCCAATCCTCCTCCTCCTCTTCCTCCTCCTCCTCCTCTCCTCCTCCTCCTCCTCCTCCTCCTCCTCCTCCCCCCCTCCTCCTCCCCTCCTCCTCCTCCTCCTCCTCCTCCTCCTCCTCCTCCTCCATCCCCCCTCCCCCTGCTCCTCCTCCTCCCTCCTCCTCCTCCTCCCTCCTCCTCCTCCCTCCTCCTCCTTTTCCTCCCTCCTCCTCCTCCTCCCTCCTCCTTCTCCTCCCCTCCTCCTCCTCCTCCTCCTCCCTCCTCCTCCTCCTCCTCCTCCTCCTCCTCTTTCTCCTTCTCCTCGTCCTTCTCTCCTCCTCCTCCTCCTCCTCCTCCTCCTCCTCCCCCTTCCTTCTCTTCCCCCCTCGTCCTTCTCCTCCTGCTCCTCCTCCTCCTCCTCCTCCTCATCATCATCATCATCATCAATACTCCCCTCATCCTCCTCCTTCTCTTCCTGCTCCCTCACTCCTCACTCCTCTCCTCTCCTCCTGCCCTCCTCCTGCCTCCTCTCCTGCCTCCTGCTCCTCCTTTCCTCCTCCTCCTCCTCCTCCTCCTCCTCCTCCTCCTCCTCTCCTCCTCCTCCTCCTCCTCCTCCTCCTCCTCCTCCTCCTCCTCCTCCTCCTCCTCCTTCTGCTTCTCTTCGTCTTCGCCATGGGGATCCTCCTTGGCCGCCAGTCCCAGTTCTGCAGCGCCCCAGCAAGGCAGCACGGTTCGAGGGCAGACATGTCCTCCAAGGCATCCCGCTCAGTGCCCGGGTGCTTATGTTGGGATACGCGTCATCCCATCGGCCTTGCAGTCGGGTCTGATCAGGAGAGTTGCCTTGAACAGTCAGCCTGCACAGTGAGGATGAGTGATTTACCAAGGGTGCCCTATCCTTGGCCGCTTTCGCTGGCCGCACCCCGCTCGCAAAGTGTCGGCATGGCCTCCCAAGGCCCTGGCATTATGATCGCGCGTCCTTCTTACACGGATTGATGGCACCTTATACGTAGGATCAGGGGCGCCCCTGCATCCCGTCTGCTCCTCCTTCCTCATCTGCGGCCGGTCTCTGCTTTCCCGCCTGCTCCGCGCGCCTCGCACTCGGCGCGCCCCGCCGGACTCGTCCCCCACGTCTGCGACCGCTGGCACCGTAAAGTAAAGAGTGTCCACTATGTCGCTTTTCGTGCCCTCCTCTGCTTGCAGCACGAGTTGCCATCGGAGGAGGCTCGTGTGCGCTCGGGTTACCCTCTACAAGATGCCGACTGTAATGCCCAGCTCTTCTAGCGTGGCACGTGGAGATCATCGGCGGTGTCTCATTTGCCATTGGTTCTCCTGACCTTAGTGCTGAAACAAGGAGGGGGAGAAGGACGAAAAAGAGAATGAGGTAGAGCGACGTCCTACCTCCTTGCAGTGCTTAGCGTGTCGCTGGGGACCGCCGCTGCGACACGCTAATCACAAATTCCTGACCGTCATGCCCCTTCTCCTCCTATCCTTATTCCTTATTAGAATATACTCCTACTCCCCCCTCAGGCCGGCCATTAGGGGCCGCATCCGGGTGGTCCCATCCTAACCTGTAAAAAACAATACAAAATCAACATTTTTCTTATTTTTTCCTCTCGACATGGACGTCCTGTCGTCCACGGCGATAATCCATTGCAAAAAATACCACAAAGAGCACACGCGCGCGTTCATGTCAGAATCCTACCGAACACCGTGTGTTTGCAAGCATTTCAACATAAAAACATCAAAAACCCAATGCTTTTTCACAAAAATTGTACAAATTTCCCGCCCGGGCTCTCTTGCTGAAATCATAGGAAAACCATAGGAATCTTAAGAATTCGGTCAAATCCAGCGATTTCACGTCATCGCGCGGTGCACTCGCGATGCTCTGTCATGCACCCAGGCCGCGAATCCTGTGCAAAAAATACCACAAAGAGCACACTCGCGCGTTCATGTCAGAATCCTACCGAACACCGTGTGTTTGCAAGCATTTCAACATAAAAACATCAAAAACCCAATGCTTTTTCACAAAAATGCTTTGGGGTGTCCTGTCAGACCGTCGGGCTTCCTCCGGCCACCTCTGGCTTCCTGCGGTGTACCGGGCCATTCTCGACTCGTCTGGCAATGCGTGCGCGGCATTCAACATGCGCTCGCCAGTTCCCGTCGGCAACCGCCATCGCGGCCGCATCAGCTGTACCAAACCGGCTGGCCGGTGTGACTTCGGTCCCCAGTTGTGCCAGCTTTGCTTCTTATGTTGTGGGAGGGCGGGTGGGACTGGGCATGCCATGCTTGACTCGCTCGAGCTGGCTAGCTTGACTCATACTCCTACTCCTCCGCCTCCTCCTCCTCCTCCCTCGTCTCATTATCGTCATCCTACTGCAACCGCAGCAATCACCATATCAACATCATTCGTATCACTCTCGACCCCTCTTCCTCCACCATGAACACACCCTCCGTCACTCCTATCAATCCTCATCCTCGTACTGGTCTTCTTCGACCTCACATCCTCATCCTCGTTGCCCTCCTCGTCCTCCTCCTTCTCCTCCTCGTCCCCCTCCTTCCCTCCTCCTTCCCCTCTTCCCCGTCGCCCCCTCTATGGGGCCCCACTGCTCCTGCCCAAGGAGGTGACCTGTAAACGATCAACGCGGCCGCCCCGGGACAGACGTGCCGGGCTCAAGAGTGGACTGGGGACACAGACACATCGTTGCCCGAGGAGAGGAGGAAGGAGGAGACGGGGGGGAAGAGGGGAGGGAGGGCGGGGCAGAGGAGCAAGAGAAAGAGGAGGGAAGGACTCGGAGGACGAGGGAGGGGAGGTGTAAGAGGAGCGGGCGGAGAAATTGGGAGGCATGGCATTGCGTCTGTCGTGCGTCGGTGTGCCCTGCTCGCGGCTTGTAATGATCCCGGCCACGCCCAAGCAGCCCCCTCCCTCCGCTTTACGACCGACCTGGTAGCGCCGCTCAACCTCCTGAGTCGTCAACCTCTCCCCGATCCTCCGCGCACGGCCAGCGGGGTGCCCCTCGGAAGTGTCTGGTGCCCCGAGGACCCCAGTAGAGCGGGGAACATGTGCCCCTATATATCTAACAGTAAGATTCCCGCCCCGTGTGTATTCACAATGCGACCGGTGTCTGCACCCTACCCATTTCCAGTTCTCTTTGTCCAGGGACCAGAGGACAGCCAGATGGGGAGCGATGACGAGGGCAGAGGAGAGCTACACGGGGGCTAAACGGTAGCCAGAGAGAGACAGAGGGAGGGCCAAGCTAGGTGCGCTCGCGTCAAATCTAACGTCCTACCCCTCCCTCCCATACCTTAACAATTGCGCTGATGTTTCTCTCGCCGCGGACGCGTGTCATTGCGGACCTGGAACTCCCAGAAAGACCCACTCGTGTTATGAGAAATCTGAGAATGTGAGTTGCGTGCACAGGAGGAGTGAGAGGAGGAGGGTGTGGCGGATGAGCAGGAGGAAGAGCAGGAGGAGGAAAATGAGGAGGAAATGGAGGAGGAATGAGGAGGACGAGGACGATCAGCAGCAGCAGGAGCTGGAGTGGAAGAAGCGGGAGGAGCAAGGGGACCAAGAGAAGGCGGAGGAGGGGAAATGAGGGGGCGACAACGATAAAAAAAAGATTCGGATCCAGAAAAGTGGCCCGCGTTAGGGCGAGAGCGCAATTCTGAACGACGGGAGCAAAGCACCGATCCGAAAATGAGGCCCGCGCTGCAGCGGGAGCACAATTTTGAAGCTCCGGAAAAATCGGATTTGGAAACAAACGTAATCTTGCGTGTAAGAGAACAGTACGTGGAGAGGGCCGGACATCTTCCGGACAAGGTCAGGGGACAGAGGAGAGTAGTATCCAGAATGTGTGATTGTAGAGCAAAGCCAGAGGGGGAAGCTTGAGGGAGCCACGGGGAATCTGGATACCAGAGGCCCTGGGTCAGCCCCACGTGGGTAGAGGGGAGCACCACATCAGCGCCTGGATAGGCCAGCACTCACGTCTCATCCTCGCGGTCCTCCCAGGCTTCTCTTTCTGCTCCCCCCCCGTCTTGCTGCGTCTGCTCCTTCGCCTGCTCCTCTTCCTGCTGCTCCTCCGCCGCCTTCCCCATCCTCCACCATGCACGTCCTCTCGGGGCCTCCCGTGCCGCAGACACCAGGGGGTGTGGCTTTCGGGGCCAACAGAAGGATGCGACGCCGACGCCGCCAGCAGTCCGACATACCTGGACCAACTGCGAGTGCAAGGTAAATTGGGTGATGGACGATCTCGATGGCAACTCCTTGACGTGCAACGAGGCATGCTGCAACCTGGACGACGACCCATTCGGTGACTACTGCTACGTGGTTGACCCAGCCTGTGAGGAATTTGAGTGGGGCTATTGTAGGCCAGAGAGTATGTCGACGCCTGGTTGCACGGATCGCCCAGCAGGTTGGAGCGATTCTGATGGCGACGATTGCTATGCCTACGCATATAATGGATTCTGCACGACGTCAGGCGGCTACGGCGCGGCCTGGCAGGAGGATGCGGGCAGCAAGAACAAACTCGCGACGCAAAAAAAGTGCGCACGGATTTTGGCCCAAATGTGTCTGTTCTGGCAGTTCCAGTCTCGAGTTCGTCGCCAAGGATGCAATTGCTGTGAGGTTTGATTCGGAATATGCGTTCGTATATCTCTGATCGAAAACCGGCCTAATTTCGCTGAATGGTCTAATCCCGCCGAATCCCGTTCAATCCCCGTGTCTACAGCTTAATCCCAGGCTCAATCCGGTCGAATCTGGCTCGAAGGTTTTTAACCAGGCTGAATAGCGTCTAATCGTTCTGACGAAGACCTCCCAGGAGTTGCCTCCCAACATTGTGCCCTAGGGCACTCCAGAAAGGGCACTCCAGAAGGGCAAGCCTCCCAGGGCGTTCCAGGGAAGCCGCGCCCTTCCTGGAGTGCCCTGGAGTGCCCATGGCCTGCCTTCCGAAATGGCGTCCCAGGAAGTGCCTCCCAGCACCGCTCCACCGTCCTCTCAGAGCGTCCCAGGGCATTCCGGGAGGGCCGCGGCGCGGGCGCACCAGCTCCCAGAGGCCCCGACGTGTTGGCACGGCAGCCTCGTGTCGTGTCGACGCGGCGGCGACACCAGGGCAGCCGTTCCAAGGCTGACGGCCGCTGGTGGCCCAGAGATTCCCAGCGGAGCCGGGTGACGTTCCGTGCCCTCCGCTGGCTGGCCGATTGAACTGAGCTGCACTACATTGCACTGAACTGACTGAAGAGAAGTGGCACTTTTGACAGCACGTTTCAACCCCCCCGGGCGGGCGCAACCGTAGCCGCAACCAGGCGGCACATTTCAGCCCGCCCGCGGGCGCAACCGCCCGAGAAGCAGGAGGTGCAGGAGCACGAGGAAGAGGAGGAGGAGAAGGGAGAGGAAGAGGAGGAAGAGAGGGAGCGGGAGCAGAAGGATGGGCAGGACGACGATGAGGAGGAGGAGGAGGAGGAGGAGGAGGAGGAGGAGGGGGAAGCAGGGGTGGTCGTGGTTCAGAGGGTTGCTGGAGCAGGTGCCGGTGGAGGAGAAAACCCAATGGCACGATAGGAAGATGGAGGGCTTGGAGGATCAGGAGGAGGAGGAGGAGGAGGAGGAGGACGAGGCCGATGAGGAGGACAAGGAGGAGGAGGAGGAGGAGGAGGAGGAGGACGCGTTGCCCGCGGCTCTCCGCCAGGACATTGCAGCGGGGAATCCCCATTCCACGCTGCTGCCTCTGATTATTGAGCGCAACCAACGGTCGCCACCCGGCCCAAACACCTCCCCCCCCCTCTCCCCCCAGGGTAACCATTAACGATCGCACGGGGGACCAGAGCCCCTCCCATGCAGGTGCTCGCGAGCAGGCTACGGCGATCGCAGCGCACCCCCGCCCCGACAGGCCCCACGCCGCCCCAGCAATACCATCACCCGGGGCCCCAACCTCGCCCCCCCCCCCCCAGTAACGACCGTTAATCAGAGCGTGAATTACCTACCCCGCTTTCGCTTCCAGGCAAAACCAAGCCATACCACGCGCCTCCTCGTGAAGCGGCCTGACCAGTACAGGCTGCAATTTGGCATCGTTTGGTATCTCTTGGAAGCGAGGGTGGTCAAAAGCGAGGTAGGTTTGCTTTCCCCCTAGTCAATGGAAATGGTAAGCCCAGGGTCGGAAGAAAGGGACCCGCGCTGCCGCAAAGCCGCGATGGCTCTCGAGGTGGAGCGACCCGGGCAGCGTCAGAAACCAGGGTTGGGACCCACGCGCAGGTCGTCGAGACACGAACCTGCCCTGCCCGATGTGCTCGTAGTCCGGCCCTTCCCGGGCTCCTCCCGTCGTGCTTCTGTCCGCCGCGTGGGCCCTCGGAAGTCTGGACCCACTCCTCGGGTCTGGCCTCCCGCTGCGAACCAGTCTTTGCCGCTCCCGGAGCCCGGTCAGGGATGGCGAGAGTGCCAACAGCGAAAATGTTGTTTCGTGTTTTTTGTTTCGCGTCGCGAGGGGATCATTATGTATGTTGGTGGGGCAAGATCTACGCTAAGACCCGTTCTGGACGGCGTTCTGGGGAGAATTAATTCGGAGACGAATCCAGCCGTGGGCACGAGGAGGCCCGGCAAAGAACAAGCACGTCAAAAAAAACTCGAAACCAGATCCTCGATCGCAGAAGCACAAATGCATCACCATAAACTATCCGAGGTCCGCGCGGACCCCCCTGGCATCGCCTCTGGCGCCGCCCCTGGCGCGCTCCGCGCGCCAGGGATGGGGGTCCAGCGTCGATCCAACCAGCCCGCAGGAACCTCCAGAAGTTTATGTTCCCCCACCCGACAGGTTGGGGTCGTTAGATTCAAGTAAGGAGCTCCCGACCCACCATGCATACCACGGCCGTCAAGCCCAAACGATGCCAGTTGCTTCCCTGGGGATCCCACCTTGCGTTCTCGGGTGGGGATCGCTCAAAGCAAAATATGGATGTGTCTTGTCTTCTGCGCGGATTCGTTTTCTCCACCAGGACTGGGGCACGCTCGAAGACTACACGCAAGACGGATACGACGCGTCAACCGCCTGCTGCGCCTGCGGCGGCGGCAGCGGCACCTACCAGGGGTACGACGACACCAAGTGCGCGGACTCTGCAGGCCGCGGGGGCTTCGGCAAGCACGACGAGGGAAAAAGATGCTGATCCCGCTGCCCTCCCCTCGTTTTCGCTTTTTGTTGGCCCCCTCGCTGCCACGGCTGAATTCGCCTCGGAACCTTGGTCAGAACGTGCCTCAGGGGAGGTCCAGGCAGCAGCGGTTTCAGTACACTCTTGTCCCCCGAAGCGAGAGGAGAAGGAGGGCTCAGAGGAGGAAAGATACCGATACCGCTGCTTGTGCCAGAGATGCCTCGTCGCCACGGTTGGATTGTCCTGTCAGCACACCCTGGGAAAGGTCTGGGGATCGACGGTATCGGTATCGTTTTGCCTCCCCAAGGGCGGGGAGGAGGAGGAGCAGGCGGACGAGGGGGGAGAGGCGGAGGGAGTATGGGCAAAGGGGAGGAGGGGCACGGGAGGGTCAGAGGAGGTGGAGATCGAGACGGGAGAGATGATGGCAGGGGAGGAACATAGGCAGAAATTCAGAGGAGGAAGGGGACGACGAAGAGGAGGAAAGGGAGGAGGGGTGGTGAAGAGAGACACCGAGAATGAGAGAGACACGGAGAGAAAGAGAGAGAGAGAGAGACAGAGAGAGAGAGAGCATCTGAAAACATAACAGGTACAGGGAAATAAACAACGAAACGTAGCATACGTACATGTTCGTACACAAAAGGGGAAGTAGAGAGAGGAAGAGAGAGAGAGAGAGAGAGACACCGAGAAAGCTGAGAGAGCTAGAGAGAAAACATATAAAGAAAAACAATCAACAAATGTATAAAACATAACAAAAATCTAAACTAGAGAAAGATAGGAAGGGCGGAATTAAGAGACAGAGGGAGAGGGAGGTGGAGATGGAGAGCGAGAGGAAGAGGGAGAAGGAGAGGGTTATCGCACAAATTCGGACGACAGGGTCATCCAGGCCCGCACGTGCCTGGCAGGCCTTCCTCGCATAGCTGGAGGCGCCGCATGTGCAACAGGGCGGGTGGGATGACCTCCCCCCCCCCGGCGCGCTCTGTGGGGACCTCGACCGGAAAAAGCGGGCGGGCGGCGGTGAGCAGACCACGCAGGGGGCCCGCCTGCGCCACCGCACAGAGAGAGAGCAGGTCGAGAGGCCCGGCGCAGGCCGCCCCAGGCCTCACGCGCACGGGAGGGGCCCGTCGATCGGCGGTGTCGGCTGCTCGTGGACCTGGCGGAGAGGTCACCAGTTGGTTGGCTCGCCGATGGGGCGCTTCGCGGCTGGCGGCGTGGGAGTTGACTCGCGGTCCCCTTGTTGCCAGCCGCTGCGCGCCCCGCCTAGCTCTTGACCGGAAGAGGCCCGCTCTCGACCCGCCGACCAAAAATTGTTGCCAGCCGCTGGCCGCATGGAGGGGTTGCGTGGGAGCCTGCCTGCAGTCCGTGCGCTGCGCGGCCCCCTCTGGCGTGGTGCCCGTCACCACTGGTCTTGCGGCCGTCCCAGTCGGAGTTTTGGTGGGCCGAATGGAGGGGCATGTCGAGTTGGGAGCGGTGGGTGGCCATCGCGCCCTGCTGCTCCTGGGCGTTGAGCGGCGGAGCATTCGCCGTCTCGCCAAAGTGTTTTTAGGCAGCGTGGACATTGCCAAGGGGGTGCCTCGGTGACAGGATGTCGCGATCAACGTCGTCGTTGAGAGAAGCCCTGGACCCTACTGGATCGAGGTCGTCAGCTTCGAATCCGTCCATGTTTAGGGGCCTGTGGTCGTCGAGTTCGTCGAAGCGGTCAGGGCCAGGTGGCCCGTCCATCGGAGGTGGTCCTCTTTGCGCACCTATGTCGTACCCTCCCTGCCTGGTGGCGAGAGGGTGTGGCTCCATGTTTGAGAGCTCTGACACGGCGTACCCTGCTCTCCTGTGGGGCAGGGGGGCGCGTGCGGTGTCGCTGGTCGTACAATTATGGCGACGGCCGCGCTGGGGAGAACAGCAGCGAGCTTGCGGCGCCATCTGGCAGCGTCGACCGCGTGTTGTGGGATACTGTGAGGCCTCGCCCCTGCTGCAGCGAGTTCATCAGCATGCTGGGCTGTTGCGATAGGCGTGACGCGGCCTTCGTTGATGCTTTGATCGCTGAGATAATCGCCCACCTTTCGGACTTTGAACATGTTGGGTTTCGCTTGGAGCTCCTGATGATTTTCTGTCAAGAGGCCGATTGCGGCCCCAGACGCTGCGGCGGTTTGCCCTGGAGGAGGTTTTCGAACCCGTCGGCGACAGCTTGATTGTCAACAAAGACGTCGATCGGTCGTTCGGCCGTGGCGACTGGGCGCAGCACGGCGAGGGCTTGGCCATATGCGGGGACTGCACTCTGCCGCGCACACGGGCAGAACGGTTGAGCTTGTGGTCTGGCTGGCCAGCAGTACACACCAAAGCCCGCCTTGGCCAGAAGGGGGCGAGCTCGGTGAGAGCAGGCCCCGTCCGTCGCAGCGTAAACCCATCGGGCACCATGGTCGTCGATGCGTTGTTGGTAGTCGCGTTATTCCGAGCCGCCCTGAGCGGTCTCTGGGTGGGCTGCGGGAGGTCATCTTTCGCCTGAGCAGCCTCGACGTCGAGCAAGGCGGGGCGCCGCCGTGCCCGGCGCGCGGCGGGCGAGATTGCCATCGATGTTCGTTGATGATTGTCTCTAGTGCAGTCCTCTGGCTCGCCCAGCAAGGACATCCCCAAATAACGTGTTCCTGGGCTTATTATTCCTCTCGGTCACGCCATCTGCACTGGGGAGACGGGCCCACCGATGCGCCAGCCGCCAGCCATGACTTTCCTCTGCCGGGCGCGGCCACCCCCGTAGAGAGAGTCGCGCAGGGGGCCGAGCTGCCAAGCGGCGCATTTGGCTCGGCTTTTGGTCTCGGGGAGCCACGCGCTGACAAAGTATTCGAAGCCATGCATGGCGGCGGCAACGGCTCCGAGGTCGTGCCCCGCAGCTGGCACACGCGGGAGGGAGGGAAGCTCTCCGCCGCGGGGCCCGGAAAGCACGCGGGTGAAGAGACCCGGCCTGCAGCGGGAGCCGGGCGAGGCGAATGCCCCAGTCGTCGCGCATGGATAGGAGTTCGGGCCACGACCGGTCAAGTAAGGCAACGATTGGCCAAAGTCTGCCGACGGGTCCCCCGTTCTTGGAGGGCTTGTGCTGGGTCGTGGGGCGACTCGGCCTTTGCAATGAGGCCGGCGCCTCTCTGCATTTGCCCCCAGGGCCCTTCTTTGGCGAAGGAGCCGAATTCGACGGCGCGGCCAGGGGCGCAGAGCGCCGATTTATAGAGGCAGGATTGCCACATTTGCGTCTGATGGCAGCGAACGCCGCGCTGTTATAAATGTTTCGCACTCTGTCGCTAGAGGCTTGGATATCCCCCCCCGCGGCTCACATACTGGCGACCAGGGATCGGACCGATCGTGACCTCGGTTGAGCGCCTTCGAGGAGACGCCCGATGCGTGGGAGTCGGTTGATTGCCTCTTTCATCATAGCATCGGCGGCGGCATCCGAGTAGATGCCAGGACCCTCGACCTCTGGCGCCACGTTAGTTTTTTCCCCCGACCGACTTCACCAAGTGGCAAATCTTAAAGGAGCACTCGCGGTCAAGTTGAAGTTCAAGTTATTCGCGGCCAACTTCTTCGCCATTCACGACCTCGCGGCCAAGCTCTCTGCCTGGCGCCCATCCCATTTTACCGGGATGGATTTTCTGGCCCGGCAGATTATCGAACAGCGCTGTTTGGACGAGCGAGGCGCGCAAATCTACCGACGCGGGAGCCGCGGCGCTGCCGTCGCCGGCGAACGCGCTGCCGAGCGATCGCGGGTTACATTTGCGCTGCCGTTCCAACCAAACACGCGCGAGGAGTTCCCTCCTCCTCCGCCTCCTCCGTGCTTCAACCGCGACCCCGGCACCTATCCCTCTTTAGGATCGGTGGCCACCGGGGTCAGGCGTGTGAGGGCGCGGCTCAGCATCAGCACTGTACACCCCCGCGGCCTGCGGGCAACGGCCCCTGACCAAGGCCTGGGGGGGAAAGAAATTGCCAGAACAATAAGGAACGCAAGAACGCGGGCGGCCTGGAAGGGGGGCGGGGGCGGGAGGCGGAGGAGAGCGGGGGACGAGAGGGGGACAAGGGGGGCGGAAACGAGGAGGAGGGCGGGGGACGGGGGGCGGTCGTCGGGTCGTCGTAGCGCTGGCGCGAGGCAGCGGTCCCCTTCCCCGTCGCCTCCACATCGCTTCCTCCTCTTCCTCCTCCTCCTCGTCCTCCTCCTCCTCCTCCTCCTCCTCCTCCTCCTCCTCCTCTTCCTCCTCCTGCTCCTCCTCCTCCTCCTCCTCCTTTTCCTCTTCCCCCTCCTCTTCCTCCTCCTGCTCCCTGCTCCCCCTCCTCCTCCTCCTCTTCCAGTTTCTTCTCTCCTCCTCCTCCTCCTCCTCCTCCTCCTCCTCCTCCTCCTCCTCCTCCTCCTCCTCCTCCTCTTCCTCCCCCTCCATTCTTTTTCCTTATACATAACTTCTTCCGGCCGCACCCCGAGGCCAGTTTTTAAAGCGGGCCGGGCGTTTCGCTTAAGACTTTTTCACCACGTACGACTCTGAAGCTTAAAAAATGGCAGCAGCTTCACAGATGGAGGGCGGGTCGTTGTCAAAATGTGGCTCTCACCTAAGCGGGGCGCAGATTCGTTTTCAAATTTGCAAGAGTTTCACGAAGTGAGGGCGGGTCGTTTTCAAAATGCGGTTCTCGCTTTAGCCCGGCGCACATTTGCTTTAAACATTTGCAAAAGCTTCACGGACTGAGGGCAGGTGGTTTTCAAAATGTGGCTCTCGCCTTAGCGCGGCGCACATTCGTTTCAAACATTTGCAGGAGCTTCCCGGTTTGATGGCGAGTGGTTTTCAAAATATGGTTCTCGCCTTAGCGCGGCGCACATTCGTTTTACAATTTTGCAAGAGCTTCACGGATTGAGGGCGAGTGGTTTTCAACATGTGGTTCTCGCTTTAACGCCGCGCACATTCGTTTTAAAGAATTACAAGAGTTTCACGGATTAAGGGCGGTTCCTTTTCAACA